CCCTACCCCCCTACCCACCTGCATTTGCACCGGATCTCCGCATTGGCGTGAAGTCCGAACACCTCGGGGGAGTCAGAGCTCGGTAGCGACTTAATGTACGACATGTATAACGAGTGATCGCCGTCAGGCGGCGGCGGGTATGCAAGCTCCACGCCGGCAGGGCCACCGCCGCCGCCGCCGGAGACGTCGCCGCTGCCGCTGCGGCCAGCGGGGCCGCCGCCCTTCATGGGTTTGAAAGCGCTCCACCCCATGCCCTCTCGGAGCACTGAGGGGTTGTAGAACTGCCTAAGCAAGCAACCCAGTGTTCGTCGGTCGATCTCGTCCGTCACCCGGCCGCCGTACACAATGTCGCCAGTGATGTACTGCAACGCGTCCCACGGCACGGCAGGCGCTGCGGTGTTGTACGATAGGGACCAGATCGAGCTGGCGTCACCGCCGCTGACAGCTAACTGACTGCGCGGCGGGCCCAGGCCGCCTCCCAGGACGGCGCGGAAGCCGCCGGCGCTGCCGCCGGGTACGGCAGCTGCGGCGGCGGCGGCGGGTGCTTCCAGCAGGAACATCTGCAGCGTGCGGACGGCGACGGAGAGGTCCCCATCGCTGAACTCGTACCGAACGTTCCAGCCCAATGGTCCGAAGCGGCGCCGCTCCTGCAACAACATAACCCCCGGGGGGCATGTGCGCATGTGTGTGTATGTGTTTGCGTGTGTAGGAAGGAGACTGCTGGATACAGAGGTCGTAAACACTGAAACACACACACATACACACACACATACATACACACACACACTCTCTCTGGGGCCCGGATCATCCCCTTAAGAGAGGCCAAACCGGGCGGGGCCAGGTTGCATTTCTCAGAAAAGACCAGAGGGCAGGGGCCCAAGCCTACCTAAAACACACACGCCAGGGGCCTCCAGGACACTCCCTCCTTCCCTTCCACCTGCCCCGCCATTAGGATCTTCACGCCCTCCTGCCTGACCGCGTTCCAAAAACACCTCCACAAAACACAAATTCTCAAACCTTCCAAACCCCTTCCTCCCCTCTTCCAGCCACCTAAAACAAAACAACACCCACAAAAACCCTAAAACCCTAAAAGCCCTAGACATACTTACATACTTACTTACACGACCCCCAGAACGCACCTGCAGCACCGCATGGCACATGGCGCACGAGAACAGCAGCTTCCGCCACTGGGACGACACCGCAGCCGCACGAGACAGCCCCACCCCGGGACCCAACGGCCCCAAGAGACCCGCCGGCGGTCTCGTACTGCCACCCACACCGCCATGGAAGGCCGGCAGCGACGGCGAGCCAGCCACGCCCCCCAGCGACCCTACACGATCCTCCACACCCGCCGCCGCCGCCGCCGCCGCCGCAACAGCAGCAGCAGCAGGGGTTTGTATGGGCGAGATCAGCGAGATCCCAGGCGCCGGTGACCCGAGAGCAGAAGAGGATGTGTTCGCAGTCGTGGCTCCGGCGATGGTGGTGGTGGCAGTGGAGGGCACCTGCGGAGGGGTGGAGAGGTGGCTGGTGCCCGGCCGTGTGGCAAAGGCGCCTGCGCTGCCTCCCGATGTCGGGCTGCCTCCCACTCCCACTCCCATGCCCACTCCGCCGCTGCTCCCGGGGAGCACGTCCAGCATGGCGGGGGGCATCTCGCTGTATATGCGCAGCAGATGTGCCCGGATGCCTGTGCCCGGAGTGGGGGGGGGAGGCCGAGGGGGGCCCCGGGGTGTGCGTGTCTAGGTAGGGGTGGGGAGAGAGGTGCAGGGGTGCAGATATAGGGGTGCAGGTGCAGGTCGATGGCAGAGGAGCGAAAGAGAGGACACACACACACACACAAACATCCATCGCCATATGTCCCATCGCCATCCTCTCCTCCTCCGCCGCCGCCACCGCAGCCGCCGCCGCCGCCGCTTCCCGCCCTCCCTGGGAAGATCTGAGTGAGAGATTGCCGTCATGAGCTCATTCCGATGGTGACACCTCAAAAGGTGCCCAGAACCCACCCGCGGGAGAGAAGAAACTTTGAGGAGCCGCCGGAGAGGCTAACTAAAGAGAGCATCTAGAGAGAAAAAGACCAGGAGGAAAAAGCCCTATGCACATACATACATACATACATACATACGTGCACGGAACATTGCCCCCGGGAGATCCCGGGATCGAGACTTGTCAGGGTCGTAAATCCTTCCGATGATGGAAGGTATTGCGTCCCTAGTTGATGGACGGTGGTGACCTGGGATAAAGTTGACTCGCGAGCCGACCAGGAATGGAGTTGGGCCGCCGTCGATCCGGCAGATTCCATTGGATGCCGGTGGTGGGTGCGGAACCCGAGCGATCCACTGAGAAGTTGACTAGGGTGACTGGATGAGGGTGCCCCGAAATACCGGGAAAGGCAGGGTTTCGCCAGGTAGCGGCCGCAGGGTGAAGATATGGGCCCCTGTCCCACACATACATACGTGCACACACCTACACACCTTTAGGCGGCTCCAGGGTGGCCTTGACACCGCTCTGCAACACCGCCACGGGGAAGGAGCGACTCGGCATCGACGTCAGCCACAGACGGAACTCCGGATGGACGTCGTACACAGGGGCCACCGGCGGCGGCGACGCCGGCGCCTCGGTGACCCCGGCAGCGGCGGCGGCAGCGGCGGCTCCGCCGCCGCTGGCCGTGCGCGTGCCAAACGTCGGCGCGTACCCCGTGCCCGTGCCCGTGCCGTGGCCGTGTCCAGTGCTGCGCACACCGCTGGCGGTTACGCCGCTGCCGGTTATGGTTGTGGTGGCGGTTCTGGGGGACCTGTCGCCCATCCCCGTAAAGGTTGGGGAGGACAGGGCAGCTCCTACAGCAACCCCACCGCCTACCGCTACACCCGCACCGGCACCCGCACCGGCAGCCGCACCCGGAGATGTCATACGGAAGGCAGCTAGCCGCGTGCTGAACTGCTGCTGCTGTAAATACCTAGCCTGTCGATTATGAGAGGGGAGGTTGGAGGTGGGAGATGGGAGGTGGGCGGTTGGAGGTGGGGTAAGTATCGCCCGTACCTAAGGAAGGTAGTATATTATGATATTTCTTATTTCATAATGTCGGGATGAAGAAGATAAGCTCCTGTTGCGCCAACGAATCCAGGATTATTTATCCTGCATTATACATATTATCCCGCCGCCCTAAGAAACCAACTAATGGAACCAACTGTTGGTTTGGGTGTGTGTCTGACCGGGAGTCGTGGCTTTCATAGCCGGGGGTAATGTAATGTGATGTGATGTAACGTAACCCCATGCATACACCGCATACGGAGCAGCGGATCTAATCACTCTACTCAATTGGTCTTTCCCCTCCCCTCCCCTCCCCTCCCCTCCCCTCCCTGCCGTCAATTACCTGCAAGTCCTCACACAGTCTCTCCAGTCGGGGCATCCAGCTGGCGGCCAGGTGGCAGTTCTGAAGACACAACCAGTCACCGCACTTCATGGCGGCCTTGATGGGGGAAGCCCCGGGTGGGGGGGAGAGAGGCGGGAGGCGTGAGAAAGGGGTAATGTTGGGTAATTGTGGGATGTAGGTAGGTAGGTATGTGTGTGCGTGCGCGCACGCGCACGCGCACGCGCGCATGTGTGTGTGTGTGTGTGTGTCAAGTTGGATGCGGATGGATCCGGGAGGAAGAGTGAAACCCCTTGCTATTTCCCGTCCACATACCCCCTTTTCCCCCCCCTCTCCTCCCCCCCCGGAATGTCGCTCAAACGGCCCCACAGGTCCCTGCACGCTCCTACACAAGTACAGACATACGCACATACATCCCTCACCTACCTGCAGCGCCGCCTCCGCCCGCGGCCCCTGGCCCTGTCCCAAACTGATCATGTGCAGCCTCTGACCCATGGGTCGCCCCATGTTCCCCGCGAACCGCGTGATGGCGGCACTGGGGTCTGCGCCCTGGGAGAGAATGAATATGATGGGGGTGGCGGGGGTGGAGTCCGCGAACAGCTCCGGGAGGGAGGTGGGCGGGGGGTCCGCGAACTGGGGGCCCATCGTGAGGACCACATACCTGTGTGGTGGGGGGGAGAAGAGGGAGGGGAGGGGTTTGGTAGTTGGTAGTTGGTGGTGGGCCTCCTAGCCATCCTTCAGCAAAACACCACAGACACACATACAGACACGTCGCTGTCCAGCACCCGGTAGTTGAGCTGTGTCCGTCTGCCGTTCCGGTACCGTACACGGTGTTATTATTCTCCGGTGTACCCCTCGGCATCCCCCCATCCATCGACATTTCCCCCTCATCCATCGCCGCGGCATCAAGCAGGTTCCGAAAATCATTAAAACACACACATGCGCACACACATTACACACAGACACACACAGACACACACAGACACACACATACAAACAGTGCACATAAGTCTCCGCTCAGGCGCCTCCGACCCCCCCAGTCCGGCAGTCTGGCAGCTCAGGTCACGTCCTCGGAGACCTCCGGCCTCCCCTCCCCTCCCCTCCGCAACAAAGCAGCTCTCAATCCCCCCTTCCCCCTCCTCCTCCTCCCCCCCTCCATGTCACCCGGTGGGCGTACACCCGTACATACACATATACTCATATACACATATACACATATACTCATATACACATATACACATATACTCATATACACATATACTCATACGCATACGCACCTCCTGATGCCGCTCAACAGCCGGCCCTCGCACAGCACCCGTATCAAGAGAAGCATCTGAAACAACGTAAGTTGACCTCCTCCTCCTCCTCCTCCTGCCGCTGCAAAGCGCGTCGCCGACACCGGCGTCGACCGCACCCCCACCACCGGACTCGCCACCACCTGGTCCGCAGCTCCGCCAGCCGCTGAAGGAGCAGCCGCCGCCGCCGCCGCCGCCGGCTCCTCAGCCCGGCCGCTGACGGCAACTTCACGAGGGCTGTTGATAGCTGTGACGGCGGCCGCTGCAGGGGGGAACAAGTGTGAGATGTCCGCCCCGAGGTACGACTCCGGGGAGGGTGACTCGGCAAAGGCCTGCCAGGCCCCAGGAAGCGCCGCCACCGCCGCCGTCAGCCCGGCAAATGCCGACGGCACCGCTGCCTCCAGCGCCCACAGCCCCTCCCACACACCGGGACCAGCCCAGGCACCCAGAGACGGCGGCCGGCGCGGCGTGTGGAGCTGGCCGCCTTGGGTTGGTGTGTGTGGCGGGGGAGCCTTCGTGGCGCCGGAACCTGCGTTGTGATGAAACTGCTGTTGCTGCTGCTGCTGGTTGTGTTGTTGTTGTTGTTGTTGTTGCGGGGTGATGGACTGTGTGCTGTGGTGGTGGTGAGGATGGTGCGAGCGGTGGTGGTGGTGGTGCTGCTGCTGCTGCTGCTGGTGAAGGGGCAGCGTTCCGTTGCCGGTTGCGATGGCGGTGGCGGTGGCGGCGGCGGCGGCGGTGGCGGCGGCGGCGAGGCTGGTTGGAAGGGAGGCGGCTGATGCGGAGGCGGCTGCTGTGTGCCCTCTTCGCAGCAGGAGGCTCCACTCGGGTGGGGATATGGCGCCCGAATGGCGGCCAATGGCGGTGGCTATGAGGAAGGAGTACAGCAGCTTGTGACTGTCGAAGAGGCCCCTGTATGTACATACATACGTACATACATGCATAAGCGCATGCGCACATACGGGTCGGGCCTCGGGGAATGGTAGGGCGGACTTTAACGCAATCCTACATACATACAGAGGCCGTTGGTCGGCTAGATCTGGTTGGATGCTGGTGGTGAGTTGCTGAACCCAACGAATACATTCTGAAGTCGGATGGGGTGAACGGATTAGGGTGCCCCTCTCGCAGGGGAGAGCAGGGACTGCCTCGGGAAAGGGGGCCGCTGGTGAAGCTTAACCAACCTGTAACGACATACATACATACATACAGACAGACAGACATAAAAACAAAACAGACGTACGTACGTACCTGCACACCATGCGATATACATACTCGGTGGTATGGTCCATCAGGTTCCGGAGCCGTACCCCCAAATCGTCCGCACGCGCTGCCGTATCTAAGCAATGTCGGAACATGCGAGTGAAGGCAGCCAAGGACGTCTGGTACATGGGGTCAATCAGCGCCAGTTCGGCCGTCACGAAGTAGAGCAATGACCCGCGGGTCGGTACGGGTCGATACACCTCCCGGGCCTCGTTGATGGCTCGTTCGGTGGCCTCAGCCTCCGCCACCCGGGTCTGAATGATGCCTGGAGAGGTGGTGGCGGTGGAGACGGCGGGAGGGGAAAGGGAGTCTGAAAGGGGAAAAAGCAGTCTGGAGCTGCTCTGGAGCCTCCTGTGTGTGCTGCTGTGTGTGTGTGCTGCTGTGTCTAATCAATGCACTAGCGACCCGTGTGTATTAGATTATATACATTACTTCCCGCCTCACCGCTGGTCTGTTTGGCGTCGTTCAGTGTGGCGATGAGCTGTTCGTCATCCAGCAGCGAGGTGGGCTCCGCCTCCTTGAGCAGCGCCAGAATGCGGTCCTCCAGCTCGGACAGCTGCCGCTTGTCGGAGGACAGACTCACCTACAGGGGCCGGGAGGGGAAGGGGGGGAGAGGGAAGGGGGGGCTGGGAGGGGGAGGGAGAGGGAAGGGGGGGCTGGGAGGGGGAGGGAGGGTGCTTGGCGCGCTTGTGGCTTGTAGGCTGCTGTTACCCTCCATAGCAATAGAAATGGCAATGGCTATGATAGAAAGCACCACCAGACACGCGCAAATGCACATAAATCCATTCTGCCGTCGTTATCATCGTCACAAATTCGGCAGTCTCTAACACGTCAGTCAGTAGTTCATTGAACAAATATACATACACACACACATGCACACGCGCACGCACACACATGCACACGCGCACGCACTCACGTGTACCCCGCGACTCTTCCCCCCCCCCCGGGGCCATTTTCTCACCACCAGGCGGTCCTTGGCCTCCTCCAAATCGGGCCGCTCCTGCCGTACGACATCCCCCAGCAGCTGATCCTCAAGTCCCTGTCATCAGTCAGAACATACACAACACACGCATACATGCATACATACATACGTATATGCACATAGGTACAATTCTGCATGTGACTTCCATCTTCGAGCCGCTCAGTTGTTCATTTCAACACACATATGTTCATAGGCAGGCAGGCAGGCAGGCAGGCAGGCAGGCAGGCAGGCAGGCAGGCAGGCAGGCAGGCAGGCAGGCAGGCAGGCAGGCAGGCAGGCAGGCAGGCAGGCAGGCAGGCAGGCAGGCAGGCAGGCAGGCAGGCAGGCAGGCAGGCAGGCAGGGACCAGAACCAGAAAGAAAAGGAAAGGAAGCTCCTGGAACCACCCGCAACC